AGCAGTGGCATATCTATAGAAAATGGTGCCTATGGCAAGCACTGAAATTGCACCCCTGTCCAAACATCTGATACCCCTCTTTTAGATAACTTCACCATAATATCAGCTCAAAAGTACAAGTCAAGCTCATTAATCTTTTAATTAACACATCACAGTGCTTGAGGAAGGACATTGGGCCATACTGGGCTAATAGAAACTGCTCAATGGCACCATGTGCCCAGGGCCAGTGCAATACCCTACATATGCCACTGCACTCATTTAATAAAAAAGAGGACCCACTGCTATTGACATTAAGTGAGATCAGACCTCCAGTCCTGAGCTATTTCACTTTGCTGCTAGCAGGGGCATAAAATTGTCCCTCCAAGCAGAAATGAGAATGGGGACAGTAGAGGTTCAGTGATAGAATTCTTGCCTTCCATTCAGCAGAGAGATCCGGATTCAATTCCTGGCCAATGCACCTCATGTGCAGCCACCACTCATCTGTCAGTGTAGGCTTGACTGCCGCTATGATGCTGAACAGATTTCAGTGGAGCTTCCAGAGTAAGACAGACTAGGAAGAAAGGCCTGGTGATCTACTGCCAAAAATTAGCCAATGAAACCCCTACAGATCACAATGGCCTGTGATCTGCAACCGATCATGAGGATGGCGCAGGACTAGACAGCATTTTGTTCCATCGTGTGTAGGGTAGCCACAAGTCAGGGCCTGACTCGACCGCAGTGAACAACAACGGAACTGAGTTGTACCGAGCCACACAAGGAAAGCTCCTGGAAAACAGTAACAAGTGCCCTCCTCGCAAAAGTGAGCCACAAACGTTCAGGGTTTTAAAGGTATTTAAAAACCATCTAGTTCCCACACTGCCACCCCAACACACACATACCCAATTTTAGACATAAGGAGGCTGAGACATGAAGAAGGAAAAGTGGGCAACGGACTAACAGCTTACAGGCCATGCAACCCCTTAGTGACTAAGCCAGATCCCTGGAACCTAGGCTCCAAATTCTCTACCATGCCTGGCCCCCCACCTACAGGGAGTAATTACTTTGCCTTAAAGTGTCCAGTTTATAAACAAAACATGGATTCATACTCACAGAGACATCTTTTCTGGGACATGCCATTTTCTGTACTCCAGGGGAAATGAGATATATTGGAAAGTCACTGTACAGTGCCAAGTATTAAGACGTTCCCTATTCAGGTGTATTTCATAGCCTGGAAATTATCCTAGCGACTTCTACGAGTTTAGGGTGCCTCCTAGATACCACACCAAAGGCTTCTTCCCATCCATATACTTCTCCAGGTAATATATTTTAATTACCTTGTTTCAGAAGTCACTGAAAGATTTCTACAGGAAAGAGGGCATCAACAGCCTCAGCAAATTATACCAGCAGAAATGTTTACCACTCCTAATTTGCTGTTACACAATGTTTATTTGCCCTCACAGTGTGCCATGGATCTGAAAACATGTCATTGATTAATAAACAGTAATTAAGTCTTACCACCTAATTCAGAGATATGGTTAGATTCTGGGATTCCCTTTCAAAGGAGGCTTAACTGCAGCCCATGGGTTAAATGGTTTTTCCTGAGGCCTGACTCAGAGGGCCATTAGGTAACCATATCCAAACCATGAATACTGGTCCTTTCACTGGCACTGCCCTTTCCTTCCTCAATCTCTTTCCCATCTCCTGAGCCAACCTTCACTTCCATTTGGCCCCCACACTCCACCAAGGACCGTCGAACCACACAAACTGAATGGCTCTACCCCTTAGTTTTGAATGTTTGAATGTTCTGCTCTACAAGGAAAGGCACCTGGATAAGGCATCCAAATATCAGATTACAAAATTTGGCAAACTGACTGCTCCTTGGGCCTTTAAAATGCTTTATTTTAAAAGCATCTTAACACTGCAACCTGACAGTCTTACTTCTAGCAGGGCTCTCCTGCCTGAGAATCTTAAAGGACATATGATGAAGGTGTGACAAACAAAATTAACGCAACTGCAGAGAACTTTGGAAATGAATTCCAGTCATAACTGCTGAGGCCTTTGTCTTACACGTTTCATTACAAACGAGAGAGGAGCCCAGACTCGAAATCCACACAGAATGGACTGGAAGTGACTTCCATATTTAGACGCAGGCCAAGGTCACTGGACTTGATGCAGGGTGAAGCAGGCATCCTGAACTTGGGACCACTTCTAGGGAGTTCAAGGAGACAAAGTGATGTTGATAACGCAAAAGTCATTTATATTTAGCTTTGAAATATCTACATATTTATATAACAGGCTGCCCCATAATCACGCTTTTTTTATATTCACATTGAAATTATCTTTCCAAATACTAAAGTTATGTCAAACTATTATTAAACACTTGCTATTACATAATCTACAAAGTGGCTCAACCCCATATGTGTAAGGATTAGCTCTGCCTAGCTTTGTCTATCATCTCTGCCACTTAATAGCAAGCTAACCTTTGACAAGTTACTTAATCTCTGTTGTTTTTGTCTTCTCATGGATAAATTGGGCATAATAGTAAATACCTACCTCATATGGTTATTATGAGCATTAAATGAGTTAATAAATGCAAGGCACTTAGAATAATGCCTGTCACTTGGTATTTATTTAGTAATGTCAGCTAGGAGAACCATTACTATTATTATGTCACTGAGTAAAAACACCTTGATCATTATATTGTCTGTGTTTTACTCTTCTAGAAGCCTTGCCAACACTACAGGACCTCAATGGGAAGTTTCTTTTCAAAGAATTCTTTCCAAGGGAGAAGGCAGAGCTTTGGGACCCTAAAAGGGACCAACACCCAAAGCTCATTGGGACCGTGGCCAGAGCCCAAGAGGCTGCTCTGCCAGAGCTCTACGGTCTCTTCCATACCTGAAGTCAAATCCTCATTCTTAACAGAAGTGGAAACCACCCGTACTCATCCCCCAATGCTTGCTACAGCAGGAGCTGCTCAATGGAATGACAGCTCACTGAGCTTCAGCAGCTTGTGCACTGCAGAGGTGCAGCTGTGGGACTCTCCCACGGAGCAGGAGTCATTCAGGGGAGACTGCATCAGTCTGCCTGGAAGCTGTGGGCCAAGGGACCAGTGTTAGGGGCTTAGGTGGGGATAGGCCATGCAAAGGAATGTGCTCTCACATGATGGGATTCCACACCCTCCAGTTTCCTCATCCACAGCCACATGATCAGTCCCTGGAAGACAAGCAAGGGCATACAATTCTTGTTTCTCAGAAGCTTGAGCACCTAAGCGGCACAACCCCAAACTCAAACTTCAGTGGTTACTTTCAGAAGTTTTGACCAAAACTAACCCATTAACTGGCTGTGCCGAAAGAAAGCCCCAAACCCTTTTTTATTAGAAGGCTAAGTCCTTTCTGTTTTCCTTTAAACAAAGGTAGACGGTCTATACCCACAGGTGCCCTACCCTGAAGCAAACGCGCAGCAGCAACAGCAGGAAGACCCTATTCTAGTCCTCAGCACGTGTGCTTTCCCCAGATTCAGCAGTACAGCTAGGAATGCATATGCAACCTTCACAGCTTCTCTCTGGTGGACCCACTGCAGACATGGGGGTGGGGGTGAGGGAAAAAGACTAAACAGCTGCAATGGAACCTGAGTATGGAGCAAAAGACAGTCTGGGTTTCAAAATGTGGTTCTGCAAAAAAGCAAAAAAAAAAGAGATAAAGAAGGAAGAGCATCGAACATCACATTGATTTATCCCATGAAACACCCCTTCCTTTTCTTCCCAACCTAATCAACACCTCAGCGAACCTCTGCAAAATGTTGGGTTCATATAGCACGTGTGTGTGTCTGAATATATATACTGACAGACTGATCAACAACAAATACCAATCATATGAAGAAAGAAAATAACTTGAACTTTAGACTCATTTAGCAATGCCTAATTCTCTTTCTCTATCATTCTCCCTACCCATTCTTACGCACTCCAAAAACAAGCAGACAAAACCAGAGCTTCCTGGTTGGAACCACTGCTGAGAATCTGCATTTCCAATAAGGTCCTTGTGGGAATTTGTATTTCTAACAAGTTCCCAGGAAGTTATACCTAAGAATCACCTGAGGATCCTGTTAAAATGTAGATTCTGATTCAGTATAACTGCGGTGGAAATGCAAATTCTCAGCAGGGAACTTGTTAGAAATGCAAATTCTTAACAGGGGTTCCAACCAGAACCGGTTCAAAGCCCTGTTACAAAATCCAACTCCGGAGCAGAAGGGGAACAGCAGCTGAACTGAGCAGCACGTGCTCGGAACGTTCATGCCACCGACTTCTGATTATTTCTACTTTCTTGAGACGCAGCCATCAGCATCGAACTAAATACAGCCCTGAAGAGAAACCGCCTGTACAGCAACACTCACAGACCATCCCATGGTGAAATGCACCCCGTGTGTGCGACTGAGCCTATGTGAAATGTGCAGACACTTAGGCAAGGATCTGCCCACATGTGACCTAAACAGAGAGAAATTCCTTCCTCCTATAATTACATGGGCATCCAAAGTCTTGCCTACATTTCGTACGTGCAGATGTCAATTCCATATGAACACATGATATAAGGACAGAAATGGAAATGACCAAAATCTGATTTTCTCGTGACCACGTCTCTCGTCGACTCAGTGCACCCATACACACGGTGAGTAAACACACACATTCAGTAAACAGAAATACCCACCGTGCTCAGCCCACAGTCACGCGTGGGGCGAAGTAAGTCGAGAAGGCGGCGGTGTCAGGGGAAGTGGGAAGTCGCCTGCCGGCGTGGGCTGTTCTCTGAAAGCCCAGCACTCTCACCCCGCCTAGAAACAGTGCCCACTCGCGCCCGGAGAGAGGAGACCCACGCGTTGGGCGTGCGGGGGCTTCACAGAGCCAAGAACTGGACAATGAGGACGCAGCGACTAGCCTGGTTCCTGCCACCGCCGCGGCGGTGGCAGCAGGAGCCGCCTATGCACCCGCTACTGCTGTCACCTCCACCCTCTTCTCCCCCGTCCCCACTTACGTTCCGAGGGTCTCCTTGAACTCGAAAATTTTCTTTATGTCTTCAGCTTGCTTTTTCCAGGAGGAGCTGCTCTCGCCGTTCTCCCGGGCCATGGCAGACGAGCGCGGCGTGTGCGGAGCGCGGCTAGGTGGAGCGGCCAGGGGACGCGGGGGCCGGAGATGGGGGCGCTGAGGAGGAGGCGCCCGGCAATTGGAGCGCAGGGGGCGGTGGTCCGGGGCACGAAGGTGGCGTGAGCAGAGGCGAGCAGGTTCAGGAAGGATGGGGCAGGCGGCGCGGGGATGCTCACCGAGGGAGCCAGAAGGAGACTTTGTGCTGCGGCAGAGCTTCCTCTTCTGCAGTTTCCTCTTTCACTCTCGCCGCCGCGGTCCCTCCCTGGCTCGTATTTCTGCTCGTCTCTGGCACAGACTTCCTGCCGCCGCCGCTGCTGCCGGCTCCGCCGCCGCCGCGTGAAGGACTCCTTTGCCGCCTGCTGCAAACCTCACTTTCTGCTACTTTTTTTCCTCCCTACTCCTCCCTCCCCACTCGCCCGCCCCACGCCCTCCCTCCCTTCCTCCTGCCCCTCCTCCCCCTCCTCTTCCCTCGGGTTCCCCGCCCTCCCCTAGCACCCCGGCAGCCTCCCCGCCTCCCGCGCGTTGCTGCCTTTGGGGATGTCCTCCTTTCTGGAGTACCGTGCCCGGGGCACAGAGGGCACCGGCTGTCCGCGGCCTGGCAAGGCTTCCTGGCTGCCGCGCGCGGACCTCGCGTCAACCCTAGGACCCGGGAGAGGGCAGGTGCGAGGGACCCAAGTAGGTGCAGGGCGCCAGAGCGCACACGGAAGACTGCTAGCCCCTTGGGTTGCTTTATTAATTCTGCAAAGTCAAGTCTGGGTGGTGGGGAGCGAAGCCCTTCTTTCCTCGCTGCCGGAGGGGGCGCCTCTGCGTTCCTCTCGGAAGTGGCGAGGCGGGGGAGGGTGCGCGTCCGCCCCACTGCGGGGCACCGAGGGAGGGAACCAAAGCGCCTTCACCCAGCCCCAGCGCCTTTGCCGCGCGCGTCCGGGGCGATCGCCTGTGCGGTCCGCAGCCACCCCGGCTCCTTCTTAAGCCCGGCGGGTGGGAGCCGGTTGTTATGGCGATAGGAGGCGGCAACGGGAATGGAAGCAAGGTGGGCGTTGACTCAGAGCCCGAGGCGGCTGCCTGTGGCTGGCGCTTCCCGACCCTGTCGGTCCCCTCCAGACTCCGTGACTGGAGCTAATTCGCATTGCACCAAAATCCGCGCTCACGTCAAATTATGGACGGGTGTGGTGAGGAAAGAGGACTTGTGAATAGGCGAAAGCCTGGGAGCCTCAGGAGGCGGGAACGCGCAGGACGTGCCAAGCAATGCCCCTTTTTCCCTTTTGGAGCAAAACTCCCAGGGTTATTTGCCAGCCTGGGCGGCGCGTGAATTCCGGAAGGCTCCGCGCGTCTGGGGCTGCCCCGGAGCCCGGCTGGAGCCCGCGGGCCTGGGCGGGCCTTCGCTCACGCTTGGCTCCTCCTGATTTTTCCTGGTTTCTCCCTCTCTCCTCCTGACGGTCTAGCGGCCTCGGCTGAGACCGAGATTTTGTGGAAAGTGAACGTCTGCGCACGAGCTGTCGCCCGCCGCAGGCTGCCCTACACCGTCCTCGGAGGGCTGCACCTGAGCCCCACCCGCAACTACTTTAGTTGGATAACCAGATTAGGAGCGTGTACCTAGAAACACCCTCCCTACAGGCTGCAAAAACTAGCCCGAAGAATCCCCTCGGGACTCCCATCTCTGAGGTGCACCTTTGGCCTGCCCACCCCTCTCCCAATGTCCACCTGTCAGAGGGCGGCTCACAGCCCGATCCCTGGACCCCAACCTGCAGGGACTACCTCTTGAAATCGGAAATTTTTAGCTTTCTTTTTATCAAGGCTGTGTCTCCCTTAGGGCCCTTCCTCTGAGTTAAGTAAACAACCCTGTTTCTTGATTGGTGACACCTGTCCCACTTTCCCACGACTGTTCCAATTTCACTGTAAAAGTAAAAAAAAAAAAAAATACTCCCTGAAAAGGAAACTTCAGCCAGCGCCTTCTGCCTAGTTATGACGGGCTGAATGAAAAGCTGAATGGCTGAATGTTCTCCTGGAAGTAGTCTGGACCCAGCAGCCCTCCACCCCCTTCCCTGATCCCTCTGCACCTCCATGCTGCTTCCCATCTTTCTGTTAGCTTAAGGCTCTCCAAGCTGAGGAGAGCAAATGGGATTAGATAGCTGTTAGAAACACAGGCTAAATCACAGATCCAACTTCCTGGCTTGCTCCCTTGCCTAAGGATCAGCCTCTAGAGCTCACCAAGACTGTTCTCAGTCTCAGCTTTTGTCCCCAGAACTAAAGAAATCCTGATGCTCTCTCTTCTCTTCCTCTCTGTCATAGAGGGAAGTTTTCCAGAAGCATACAGGCGAAGAGAAAATGGGGAAAAGTTGAACGTGACCCTGTGGCTACAACTGTAAGCTCTACTAGTTTGGCTGTAGGCTCCAAGAAGGCAACAGACATGTTAGTTTTTCACCACTGTATCCCCAGCATCTAGCATGGTGACTTACACATAGTAAATGATCCATAAATATGTGTTGAATGGATACAGAAATGAAACAGAATTGAGACAGCTTATCTGATATTTGTTGTACTGGTGGAAATGCTAGGGGGAGCTTTCTTTCCAAATTTTCTGTAATGATGTTCATTCAATATTATCAAGTTATCCTCAGGTGTACTAGGTCCTTGAGACAGAGCACAAACTTTTACTGGGAAAGTTGGGGAGGCCAGGCCCAGAAGAATGGACCCCATGACCCAAAGAAGGGGGTATAAATGCCAAAGACTAATTCAGTCTGGCTATATCTAACTTGGAAACTCTGGTGGTGTAGTGGCTAAGAGCTATGGCTGCTAACCAAAAGGTTGGCAGTTCAAATCCACCAGGCCCTCCTTGGAAACCCTATGGGGTAGTTCTACCCTGTCCTATAGGGTCTCTATGAGTCGGAATCGACTTGACGGCAACGGGTTTGGGTTATATTTAACTTACAGGACACCATGTAAAATAAAAGATGTTCATCCTGGAAAGTGCAAGACAAAATCCACCTTCCCTAAGGATAGAGCCTTAGTAAAAGGTCACTGTACCCTAACAATTCCTCCCAGAAAGCTCTGCCAGATATTCTGGCTTACTAAAATTTATGTCCTACCCCAAACCCATTGCCGTGAGCTCGATTCCGACTCATAGTGACCCTAAGACAGAGTAGAACTGACCCATAGGGCTTCCAAGGCTGTAAATCTTTATGAAAGCAGACTGCCATATCTTTCTCCCCTGAAGGGGCTGGTGGGTTCAAACCACCAACCCTTTGGTTAGCTGAGTACTTTAACCACTACGCCACCAGGGCTTCTTAAAGTTTATGTCCTAGTCCCTACATTTCCTTAAAGCTTTTTAAATTTTAAAGGTCCCAAAGAAGAGGCATTTTTAATAGCCCATTATTAAAGGGTTACTAGTTATATGCCCATCAAACTCTTGTCTACCCACCCTTCCTGCCAGTAGATCATATTTCTGTGGCCCAGCTTCAGTACTGGGCAAATAGTGTCGGAGCGGGGGTGGAATATAAACACTAGGTAAATCAGATGCACAGACTGAAAATTTCCAAATTGCTTCTATTCAGCCTATCATACCTAAAGTTATAAACCACGAAGGCAAGCTGGGGCGGTGGAAAGAACTAAAAGTCCAGGAAACTAGGCTCAAGTCCCAGGTCTGCCACTAAGTTTGTGTATAAGATACTTTGCCAACTAAGCCTCTAGAATATAGGTTGTAGAAAGGAAAATTGTATGTAAATTAGATGATGATTTTTTAGGACTCCTAGATTAACAGTTTTTTCATATGATGAAAAGCTTAGGGTATACAGAATATCATTAGTTTGTCTTTGAAAATTAAGAATGCTTTGGTCCAAAATGCATTGATCAAAATATTGTATTAAATTCTACCCAAAGCAATTTACAAATACAACGCAATCCCGATCCAAATACCAACAACATTCTTCAAAGAGATGGAAAAACTAATCATTAACTTTATATGGAAAGGGAAAGCCCCGAATAAGTAAAGCACT